TTTTTTGGGGGAAAAACAACAACAATTTAAAGCAGTATTACACTTATTGTTTTTATACTTAAACCCTATTTCGTCTTTGACCCATATATAACTAAATCTGGTTCTCTAAAGACAAAATAAATATATTTGAACATATATTTACATTACAATATATAAACAATAATATTATATACATTTAAAATAAATGTCTTTAAGTAAGTGTTTTCATTATCAATGAAAGTGAAATGCGGAACATAAAATGCTTAAAAAAAAATTCTAAAACTAAATATGGTCCTCAAAATAAATATATTTTAGTATATATTTACATAATAATGTATATAATCATAAAGAAATATTTTTCTTTTAAATGCTTTTATACGTAAAAAAAAGAAAGAAAGAAAGAAATTGTTCTCATTCTTAATGAAAGTGAAAACTAATTCTGGTCTTCAAACCACACAATATATATATTTAATATACAGTATATTTACATAATAATGTATATAATATTACGTTTATATATTCAGTGTTTCCCATACATTGATTTATTTGTGGCGGCCCGGCACTATATCAAAACTGACCACCACAAATAGATTTGTGGGGCTTACACTTCATTAAATATACATTTCAAAATCAAAACGCGGTGCGGGTGTTTTATATGAATGTATCTTTGAAGGGAACCGACTGTCTTCAGAAAAACTTCAATGTCATTTTCATTTCATATTAAACAAGTAAACGGGTAAATTTCTATGCACATGACATTTTCTCCAGTCACCTGAGCTTCCCAGCATCCTTTGGCAGCGTAGTCCCTGAGCGTGCGCATGCACTGCAGATACCTGCCGGGGTCAGCCGTCTGCAGACAGAGCATTACAGCAGCCTTCAGCATCAACAGCAGAGAAACAGAAGCACCGTGACCGTGAGTCCTGAAGAAACTCTTACCGACGTCCCGCGGTTCATTTCCCACAGCAGATACGAGCTCTGCACGTTCCCGCAACGCGCAGACTCCTTCAGCATGGCCGTGGCCTCGTCACGCTTCTCCTCATCCTGATAAACACAGAGTCACCAATCGTGTTTACCACCTGCCCCTCAGTCTGAGCGGTTATTATGAGACAACCAGTGAAGAGCAGTTATCATTAACATTAAAGGGTTAGTTCACCCAAAAATGTAAATTCTGTCATTAATTACTCACCCTCATGTCGTTTCAAACCCGTAAGACCTTCGTTCATCTTCGGAACACAAATTAAGATATTTTTGATGGAATCTGAGAGCTGTCTGACCCTCCCATAGACAGCAACACAACTGAAATGTTCCCAAGTCCAGAAACATAGCAAGGAGATCTGTAAAATAATCCATGGCTGCGTTTACACTTGGCATTAACATGCGACCTGTATCCGGATGTTGTTCATGACAGAATTTTCATTTTTGGGTGAACTAACCCTTTAAGTGCTTCCCGTTTGGGACCTTTTGACTTTGAGAAGCACAAATGATAAAACCCCTTGACAGCAAACATCAAATGAGCAACCCGAACCCAACATTACAATGTGACCAGGTGTCTGTCAGCATCTTGTGAAGGCCAGAAATGAGCAACACCAGTTTTCTGCTCTTGACTTGGAGAACAATACATTCAGAGATTCGGTCTTTGAAGTCTATTAGAGTGTTTTTACACAATCATTCTCAGATTAGAATTGCATTTTGTAATGCAAGTTTCAAGAATAAAAGCAACACTCACATCAAACAGCCGAAGGACTCTAGCCAGACAGTACAGTAACGTCCCTCTCCGGCCCTGTAAAGACAAGAAAGCAGGAAGAAAGAGACATTAGAATGTGTTTAGAATGAGATGGTAATGAATCCTGCAAAATCTGTGCTATGATTAACAAATATATATTTGATAAATATGACATTTCCTGTCAATTTTGTAGTCAACATGAAATTTTTTTTTTGTTTTTTGAAAGAAATCACTTATTTCATACATTTATTTGATCAAAATATAGTAAAAACAACAATATTGTGAAATATTTCAATTTTTTCTATTTGAATATATTTTAAAATGTAATTTATTCCTGTGATCATAGCTGTATTTTCAGCATCATTCCTCCAGTCTTCAGTGTCACATGATCCTTCAGAAATCACTCTAATATGCTGATTTGATGCTCAAGAAACATTTATTATTATCAATGTTGAAAACTGTTTTTGCTGCTTAAAACTGATATATTTTTTCAAGATTCTTTGATTAATAAAACGGTTCAAAAGAACGGCATTTATTTTAAATAGAAAACTTTTGTAACACTAGAAAATGTAAAACGCAATTCTCAGTTCAAAACTAGATAGTGTTGATAAATTAATAAATAACAAAATAAATTCTAGTACACCCCCAAAACAAAATCAAGACTTTGTAAAAGAGCAATAAGTTAAACGCTTACATTAAGAATTGTAAAAAATTGTAAGAAAAAAGAAACTGTGCATTGATCCAGGAGGAGGAGAACTGTACTGGCAATGAATGCTGGGATATTCAGGAATCGCTCACCAGGTTGGTCTCACACTCGGCTTCGAGTCGGTCGTACACCACAGCCTTACAGCAGCCTCCAGACATGGACCACGGCGGCCGGATGAACAGCCAGATGAAGGGCTCGGCCAGTGGGGACCGGAGGCTCTCGGCCAGGCTGAAGTACCGGGATGCCATGCGGCCGCACAGATCGGCACGTCCCTCCTCACTGAGCGAAGCTGCAAGACATTCACACATCGTGAGGAGCACAGGACAGCTTTGAGCAGTCAGTCAGATGATTAAATCAATTAGGGCTGCACGATAAATCGCATGCGATATTTAACGCGCATCTTGTCAGAAAGCCGGTTCTGTAATCAGCGGTAAATCTCCATCACGTGCGTGCTTTCATATTGAGCAGCATTAACTACACAGAGCCGCTGTTCACTGACGAGCTGCGCAAAACCACATTCATATTCGCGCGATTTTTTGCGCAGCCCGCAGGTGATGGAGATTTGCCGCTGATTACAGAAGCGGCTTTACATGATAAGATGCGCGTTAAATATCGCATGCAATTTATCGTGCAGCCCTAAAATCAATCAACCAATCAATCAGTGCATACATAAAGACACAGGAACACTGGGAATGAGAGCAGAAACTTACGCCCTTCATTGTACAAATACGCAATTCCTAGTTTCGCAGCAGCTTCAAAGTTCCCTTTCTCCGCAGCCCTAGATATTGTAGAGGACAAGCAGGAAAATAATGAGGAAGACTAAATGAAATAAGCATTTAAATAATTAAAACAAAAAAGCAACAAGAAAAGCTTGTACTGAACCATTTTGAAAGTGAATAGTGGGGAAACATTTACATCAAGCAGGCACTAGCAAGCACAATTTAGGCAAAACCATGGGAACAATAATAATTATGATTTTTAGCATTATTACTTAATAATATTAAAATAAGAAATATTACTATTGTAAACAAAATCGTGCATTTAAAAAATATATAATTATAATAAGTTTATTTTACCATACAACTGTAAAGTTACAATACTAATATCTATGGTTGTCTTAATTTATTCATTTTAAAACGTTAAACCACCAAACTTTTATTTTGACAGAAATACACTCATTTTGAAACAGGCAGCACATATATTCAATTAGATCACAGCCTTTGTGATTCCATTTTATTTTGATTAATCATGCAGCCCTTGTTTCCCAGTAATGGAAAACCTGGAAATAATGTCAATGAATTTTAAAAAAAAATTTAACTTGTGAAAAATATTTAAAATTGGATATTTTTCTCTATAACCGCTCCTTTTGAGTTGCTCGTTTTAAATAAACTGTTCAAACCAGTTGACAAATTGATCTGAATCATTAGCGAATCAGTCTAAATCAAAATTTATTTTAAAGGAATAGTTCACCCAAAAATGAAAATTCTGTCATAATTACTCACCCTCATGTCGTTCCAAACCTGTAAAACCTTTGTTCGTCTTCAGAAAACAAATAAAGATATTTTTGATGAAATCTGAGAGCTTTCTGACCCTCCATATACAGCAATGGAAATGTTTTATGGCCCAGAAATACAGTAAGGACATCGTTAAAATAGTCCATGTGCTAATCTCGTGAACGCGCGAAAGAGAAGAAATTGTTGAATAAAGTCGTTATTTTTTGTTTTCTTTGCGCACAAAAATTATTCTTGTAGCTTCGTAACATTACGGTTGAACCACTGATGTCACATGGATTAATTTAACGATGTCCGACTCCTTACTACCTTTCTGGACCTTGAATGTGTCAGTTCCCTTGTTGTCTATGGAAGGTCAGAAAGCTCTCGGATTTCATCAAAAATATTTGAATTTGTGTTCCGATGATGAATGAAGGTCTTACGGGTTTAGAACGACATGAGGGTGAGTAATTAATGACAGAATTGTCATTTTTGGGTGAACTATCCCTTTAAGGTTCTTATCTGCATCTCAAACAACTGGAAACATGGTGAAAATGTTGGTAAATACCATACCTCTCAAAGAGCCAAACGGTATCCGGGACCGGCCAGCGGTCTTTGAAACTCACTCGAGCCCAGACACTCGAGTTACTATCGATAACGTCACGAAGATGAGAATGAACCTGTGGGATCACATGATATTCACTATTATAAAACCGCTTTTGGTTAACAGATCATTTAGGAGGTTAGATGTTTGCATCCGGGCTTGACTAACAGCTCTGACGGCGAGGAGATCCTCAGCGGAGAGGCACTGGAGGACACACAGGAGCAGCTCTTCAGGAAGGGACAGCAGCGTGACGGCAGACGCACGCTTTCGCACCCGCTTCCGGAGAGGCAGAGAGAAACATTTGGCACATCGACAGTGGAGCACTGGAGACAAGGAAGAAGAAATTCACTGTTAAAGGGGTCATATGATGCGATTTCAATTTTTCCTTTCTCTTTGGAGTGTTACAAGCTCTTGGTGCATAAAGAAGATCTGTAAAGTTGCAAAGACTAAAGTCTCAAATCCAAAGAGATATTCTTTCTTCCGGCCTGACAGGGCATCATAACAGTATGGTAGGGGTGTAAGATTTCCGTCACACGCTTGAGGTATTCGTCCAATCACAACGCACTGGATAGCTGGTCAATCAGAGCACACCTCGCTTTTCAGACCGATTAGTTTTGTAAAAATCGACGCGTTTCAGAAAGGCGGGGCATAGAGGAGAAACAATAATGTACAGTATGTGGAAAATAATGTGTTTTTTGAACCTTAAACCGCATAAACACATTTCATTACACCAAATACACAAAATAATGTTCTTTTTAGCAGCATCATATGACCCCTTTAAAATGCAATAAAGAAGCCGTGATTGACTTCCAAATCAGTGTGAAGCCAAATAACTTTGTGAATTGCAATTCTGCAACTGTTTCGATTAACTGGCCATTTAGAGATTAGCAATATAATAACTGTGTCTAGTGGCCCATCAGCAGAATTATTATATTCATCAGCATTAAATTGCATTTTATATGCCATATCTCCACTATATTAAGTCACTCTGCACACTATATATTGAATTTGGCCATTAAAACAATCTTAATTAGCTGAGCACTGCAAAAAGTACTTTAGTGGTAAGTTACTATGGTATAAAGATGGCAATACCATTGGACTTAGACACACACACTATGGTGCCAATAGATCACTATAATCATAAACCATGATATTTACGTTACACCAATGTACTTCAAAGAATATCATGGTATAAGCCCAATAAAACATGGTATTAACCATGGTACTACACTGGGACGTTGCATTGCGAAATATAGGTCACCAAGAGAGATTATTTACATCGGCTTTTGAGTCTAAATGGTTTTAAATTCTTAAAAACTACTAATACTAGTAGAAAACACGCATTTGATATAATAATGATTAGTTTTGTTGCTTTGCAATGGCAGTTTTGACATGCTAACAACCAGTAGCCAGTTTTCCCTCCTTATTGATTAAAGCAGTCCTGGGACAGAGGACAACTGGCCTCTCTTGAGGAGATATTACATTAAAATTGACTAAAACGACTTCATCAACACTCTTATGGTTAATAGAATATTTATATTTAGATAATTAAAGTTTATTTCAATTACATACCGGTTAACAGTAATAGCTCTGTCTAAAGTTTTGTAGCTATTTAATAAACTTCAGCCCTGACTATGATGAGATAGAAATATTTATCGACGAAATATGTAATTATACAGTTATTAGGGTTAGATAACTGAAAATGAATCATTTAGGGAGATTAAAGTAGTTACTTACCGCCCGCTTTCATTTCAAGGAAGGATCTGAGAAGTCAGCTTTCAACAATAATGCTTCACAGTGTAATGAAATGAATACTTAAACCCTTGATTACTAGAGCTTAAAATGAATAAAACCAGTTTCACTGATTAACCTACTAAATTACTGTTAACTAATAGTGTTGTACAGTTTAAAACACAACTCTCTTCTGACTCGACCACGCAACTTCCACTAAGCCCCGCCCCCGAACGCTTAGCCACGCCTGCGCGGACGGTTTAAACATCAACTCTGGGCGCTCACTGGCCAGAAAACGAACACGCCCATCGCGGCCGCTGCTGCGTTCTGATTGGCCATCGTGCGAAGCTCGAAGCGCCATTGGTCCGCTTTTAAAGGCGTCGATGTATTGGCTGGAAAGATGCTATTTCGAATTACGCGCTTACAGTGCTGTGGGACAGGACCGACAGGACTGGTCGAGAGGGGTATATATATATATATATAATTTATTTTTAATTATAATTTATGCATTTAGCAGACGCTTTTATCCAAAGCGACTTACAGTGCATTCGACGCTTTTATCCAAAACGACTTACAGTGCATTCAGGCTATACATTTTTTACCAGTATGTGAATTATTAATTATTAATTATATATATATATATATATATATATATATATACACACACACACATTATATAACAAACCTTTAAGCCAAAATATTTATAACATAATAAATCATTAAATATAAATTGTTAATATAAAAATAGTGTTTTTTACTTTAAAAAAAAATTGTTACATTTTTAAAAAATGATTTAAAACATATGGTTGCATATTTACTGTTGACGAACTTTTATCATCAGCTAAGGACTAATAGTCAAATATATATATCATATTTAATTCATTTGGTTGCTGTTTTTTATGAAAAACAAACCAAATAAATTGAGATGAAATATTGATTATAGTTTAAATTACTTTATTATGTGAGAAGAAAGAGACTGCAGAGTAATGCAAGAGACATAAAACTAGCACAGCTATGTAGGAAACCCACTGCTTAAGTCAAAGGTCAATACAACAATCATTTTACAAAAACATTGATAGCAAAATGATGCAATTGAATAATCAGAATCAAGTATTTTAGGGAGGAAGGAGTGTAATAAATTTCTTAAGTCTTTTTACTCCATTTGAAGGTTGAAGATGTCACAAATAAGTCCTTTGACACAACATCTTTCATTTCATAAAGGCAATGTCTTTCTCTGTTCGTATGTCCAGCGTTTGGGTGGAACTGTGTCCCTAAATGTCAGACTTTCGCTCAGCTTGTTATCTGCTCTGAACACAGGACTCAACCTCATGTCAGGTCATAATGAGACTTTGTCATAAATGAGGGTTTTGTATTCATGGTAACCATCACAAAGTGCTGACGATTTGCTTTCATCAAGCCTGTCACTTCTGACAGAGTGATTACTAATGGCTTTCACCACAGACAAAGAGAAGGGGGAAACACCACACATATAACAGAATGATTATTCATTTCATAGTTCGAGTCATTTTTGTTTAGTTCTAGCCTGATGAGTTCCACAAAATTAAAGGAATAGTTCACCCAAAATGAAAAATTGTTGAAAATGTGCTCACCCTCAGGTCATTCAAGACATAGATGAGTTTGTTTCTTCATCAGAACAGATTTGGAGAAAATTACAAATGGATCCTCTGCAGTGAATGGGTGCCGTCAGAATGAGAGTCCAAACAGCTGATAAAAACATCACAATAATCCACAAGTAATCCTCACCACTCCAGTCCATCAATTAATGTCTTGTGAAGTGAAAAGCTGCGTGTTTGTAAGAAACAAATCCATCAAGACGTTTAAAATTTAAACCATCACTTCTCGCTAAAATACAAGTCCATAATTCGTAATAACTCTTCCTCCAGTGAAAAAGCTCATCTGCTGTTGTCTCTCACATTAAAATCCAGGCACATATGTGTTTAGAGCTGTTTAAACGCTGCTTGATCTGTGCAGATTTCTCTCCTGAT